AGGCACAACACATTATAATGGTCATTGATGTAGCAACTATTCTTAATAAGAATGCCCTAGTATATCTGTTACATATAACAAATTAACTTTCTTCCTAAGAGTCTAAAATGGTACCAGCTATGGACTATCCTTGGGAAAATTGAAAAAATAGTCACTTAACTTTTGGTGTGGTTTAAATCTCTTGTGGAATTCTGATTGAGAAAGACTGAGGTATGCCATATACCCTAGTGGATGACATCTATACAAGGTCATTATGTCCACACACTGTATTTTCAAAATACCATTTTGTCACTCTATCAGGCTAGCAGCTTCTTGGTAGCACAGTATACGATAAGACCATTAGATATTGTGGTCATATGCCCAATGCCACATCTTTTTTTTTTTTTTTTTTTTTTTTTGCATTCATGTACATAAGAATCATTTACTACTACTACTACTACTACTACTACTACTACTACTACTACTACTACTACTTCCTCTTTTTCTTCTTCTTTTTCATTATGTTCAGTTAGCCAACATATAGTGCATCATTAGTTTTTGGTGTAGTGATCAGATAAAGGGCTGGTATCTGAGATCTATAAAGAACTTATCAAACTCAGCATTCACAGAACAAATAATCCAGTCACGAAATGGGCAGAAGACATGAATAGACACTTCTCCAAACATACAAGTGGCTAACAGACATACAAGTATCTAGCAGACACATGAGAAACTGTGCAACGTCACTAGCCACCAGGGAAATACATTACATTACTTCTTAATCTCGCTCTGATGTGGGGAGAAATCCTTATAATCCTACATGTTCTTGAGCCCATGGCCAGTGACGCATCATCAGGGATAGTTTCCATAAAAACTGTTCCATTATGTAATGTGGATGAACTTGTCCAGAGGTGGAAATCAAGTGCAGGGACATCTGCCACTGTACTTAAGACCTCCAGGAAATCTAAACTTTCTAGGTTTCAGGCTGGGCATTTGTAACAGGCTGAGCTTGGCTTATGTGGTTTCAAGGGTCACATCTAGCCTCAACACTGTTTCTGTTGGCTCCCTTGGGGAGCTCGAGGCTTGTCTCAGCAATTTGATTTGTGGAACTTGCCTTGAATTCGTGGCTCACAGAAGGATGAGCTGGAGGAGACTCAGAGACCACCTGGGTTCACATTCTGGTCTTACAAATGAGGAAACCGGGACTCAGAGAGCCAGGCTCCTCCATTCCCTTAAATCATGTAGCTAGTTTTCGGTTGCTCTAAAACCAGAACCCAGGAGTTCTGACCCCTAGGTCCGTGATCTTTCCATCAGACCACATTGCCTCTTTGGTACAAATGAGGTATCATGCTGAAGAATTAGACATGAAAACAGCACAGCTAACCTTGAGGGACAACTGACCCCCTAACCATTTTATTGAATAACTGCAAAAGTAAATAAGTCAAATTGATCTGACTATTGAACGTACTATTTTAAAGATTTTTTTTCATTTCAGGTCATCTAGAAAGATACATTATTTTTAGAATCTAGGGATAGCTAGAGGGTGACAGCACGCTCTGGGAGTCCTTTCTCAGAACCATAACTGGTTTATCTCTGAGCTTTGCATTTTAGAACCTTCGAGAAGCTCTGAATTTCCACTCATCGAGTTACTAGGTTCTTACACTGTAACCTCAGAGCCTAACAGTTAATCTTGAACTTCTTCGAGTTTATGCTACCCTGTGGTCAAATATTTTCATTCCTGGTGGAAGAAGGAAATGATTTCATATTGACTAACAGAAGTCGACATGGGAATCTGCTAGTCATGTGCGTGACCACAAGATGTACGTAGCCTATATGAGTAACTGGGAAGTAACGGATCAAATCAATCTGCTTTGTTAGATGGCAGTCACCCTACACATCAATAGGGTAAGGAAGTGGTGTCCTGTTCTGTACGTCCATCTTGCAGTTCTGGCTTGGACAAAAATCCAAGGTCTCACCTGCTCAGTTTGAGCCTTCCATGGAACCCACTCCTTTGTGCCATAAGAGCAGAAAGAGAAACCTTGGGGCATTTAATTGGGGGCCACTTTTGATGAAAAGTATATGCAGCATTTTTTCTGAGCACACTATTGCATTTGAGTTAATTTTGGTGAAAAAAAAAAAAAGTGCTTCCTGCACTCATTTGAAGAAACATCAGTTGTGAACATTATTTTTAAAAGACTGGCTTTACTTATAAGAAAGGGGACAGAGAGCAATTTAGGTTTTTTTTTCCCCCCATTTTAGTGAGAGATGTAAAACATTCATGTCAAGTTCCTTAAAAATTAAGGAAAGAATCTACAGAACACTCAATACTGAAAAGAAGTCTTAATTACACGTGGTATGTAGGTTTCAGATTATGGTCTGTTGATGTAGAGGGGAAGGCCAGAATAAAACAAAAGCACAAATGTGGGAGAGAAGAGACTGAAACAGGCAAACAGGCAGAAACAGAGAAAGATAAAAGTGGCAAAAGAAAGAAAGGTGAGGAAAACCAAAACGGGATTAGAAAGAAGAACAGCTTTGGGGGACTACGAGAAAGGACCGTAGAGCCCACAAGCCCAGGCTCGTCCTTGCTTTCACCAGCCTTTGGCAGAAGTCTCACCCTCCACCTAGTCTGGAACTATGCTGGGGTTTGCTGGCTATTGTTCTCCCAGTGCCCAGCACAGATGTGGTAAACCCAGAAAGAAAGAGTAAATGAACAGATGAACACAGGGACAAGTGAAGGGTGAGCATGTAGGTGGAGTCCCGACCCTGGACACCTAAGACAAGATCTCTTCAAATTTGGTTTCACAGAGTCTTACCCATGTTCTCTTTGAAGTAGTGATGTTGTTGGCTAAGCATCAGAGCAGTGGTTTCCTTCTGTTTCTTTTGGAGACTTTCCGAAAGTTAATGATCTCACCATCCTGACCCTGGGTATCACCATGTCCATTAGCAACTGCTTACTCCAGACCCAGCTGTCGGAAGCTCTCCAACCCTTCTGGTCCATCAGCGCCCCCCTAGAATCCCTATCCTGGTACAAACCAGCTCTCCTGCCCCAGAATACTGCCTTCCTAGCTCTCCCAAAACCATCCCTAGTCATTCAGCCCACTTGATGGCAGCTGCCTATTTCCCTAGCCCTTCTAAACTGAGGGCCCTGCTGACTGGGTTGCTCTGCACTAAGGACTCATCACATCTTCACCCGCACGTGAAAATACCATTTTCAACCCTTTCCCATCACTTCCCTCCTGCTCACTCCTGTACATTCCAGCATAGATTTTGGTCCTTGGCCACCCACAGCCTCCTTATCCACCCCAACCACTGATGTCCTTCAGGAAGACCTCAAGGACTTTGTGCACAATTCACCCAAAGATTAGCCCCTGCAAATTCAGTGATTTTTTTTTTTAATTGTGAAGACACATTACATAAAATTTGCCATTTTTAAGTGTACCATTGTTCAGGATTAAATACAGTCACATTACCATTACTACAGCCCGTTCCAGAGATTGCGTCTTCCCTAATGGAAACTCCACACCCACTAAATACTAACTCCCCCAATTCCCTGACACTTTAGCAGATTGAAGGCACTCTCGCCCTAAAATCTTCACTTCCTGAAGTTGTTCTACCTTCAGAATCTTCGATTTTCTCATTCCACTTTCTGTCCATAGTCTTCCGTCTTGCCTTGCAAGAGACCTTGATGCAGACGGGTCTGGGTTGGGGTCCCAGCTAAACCACGTGCTAGCCTCAGTTTCTTCATTTGTAAAGCTCCAACCATCGATAACACTGTGAAGAATACAGATACTAGACAGATAAGAGAACTGAGTTAAGTGAGCTGTTGAAAGGATTAAGTGCTTGTAGAGCTGGGAGCCCAGGTTGGTTCTCCATCCCGCCTGCCAGGCCACGTGTTAGCGTGTTAGCGTCCTGCACTCCAGCCAGCACTCTGCGGACAGCCCTAGCTTCCCTACACCGTGTCTTTCTGATACCATCCTTCGTCAGTCCAGCTCTCTGCCTCACCTGCACATTAACCTGGCGGTTGTGAAATCATGGTTTTTGCAGGCGTTATGACAAGGCATGGTTTCCCACTTTGCTGGGCCACCCATCCTACCCTAGAAGTGTTTCATGGATCCTTAATTGGCTTCCTCCTCCCACTCGCTCCAACAGCTCTTCCAGATCTTTCCCCTTCCGGTCCATCTCCCAACCCTGCCACTACTCCAGCAGTTAACATGTATCCCTTTCATCTGCGTAGACCAGAGCTCTGAAACTGCAGTGCAAGTAGGAATCATGAACTTCGCCAAAGACATTCTGGTTTGGAAAGAGGGAATGGGATTGAAATCTGCAGTTTTAACAAGCAACCCCTGAGGATTTTGATATATACAGTGCACAGTCCACTTTTCATGGAACGCTATCCTAAGCCACAAGCCCCTTGGAGCAGATACCTTATCTGATTTTCACCTCTAAATACCAGGCCAAAGATGCAGAAGGGGAGATTGAATGAATGAATTTGGCTGTCACTCTGCACTTCAAATTAATTTAAGTTACCATCCTCCTTTGGAAATACTAATTAGCCACAGCTCTTTAAGTGCAGTTTCAAATTCTTTAATATGTTTCTTCTTTAATTCTTTATCTGCCCTTTTTATTGTGTTGGGGGTAGGGAACCATAAAGAACTTGTTGTTTTCTGAGTGGTGACAGTAACTACAGGACACCAGCAACAGCCCCATGGCTGGACAAGATTGAGAAAGAAGGACAGAGATAGGTCCGACCTCAGGGGAAGAAAGTAAGTACTCATGGGCCCTCATTCTAATGACTGGCCAGGCAGAAGTCATAGCAACCACCACAGTCAGTGGGATTCTCTGAAGTGGGAGGAATTTTTTTTTTTTTTTAGGATGTTATTTATTTATTTGACAGAGAGAGACAATAAGAGACGGAACACAAGCAGGGGGAGAGGGAGAAGAGAAGCAGGCTTCCCACCAAGCTGGGAGCCGGATGCGGGGCTCAATCCCAGGACCCTGGGATCATGACCCAAGCCAAAGTCAGCCACTTAATGATGACTGAGCCACCCAGGTGCCCCTGAAGTGGGAGCTATCTTAAGCGGGGAGATCACGCTAGAAATGTTGGGAAAAGGTGACCTAGAGAAATAGGGAGGTAAATAGCGATGCAGGCTGACATCCCCAGTTGGTAATGGAAAGGTTCACCTGGCTTCCAATCCTAGCTCTGCCATTCCCTTGCTTGTCAAATGGGTGTTTAAACTGTTGGGGTGGCTCATTATCTCATCTGTAAAATGGGGGCAATATGATTTACCTTGTAAGCTCTTTTGAGGATTGAAAAGTTCACTGTAAGTAATGCAGGGTGCTTCTATGATGTTAAGCAATAAGAGTTTTTAAAAGAACCGGGCATCAGGTGAGCTCCTTGTTTTTCCAACAATGGAGGGCTACACACACACACACACACACACACACACATACCCCTACACCCAGTCTGCCTAGAAAAACAGAAGTGGTATCAGCTATTGCCCTCTGGGGAAGTGTAACTCTGAAACCTCATCCTCACTGTAATAAAATAGTTTCCAAAGGGAGCAGACAGAGTAACCTAGGGCCATGCCCTCCCACTTCCCTCTTGCCTGAGCGGAGTTCAGAGCCCATCTTGGGGAAGTGGGTGGTGAACTAGTTTGGCATGGGTGGCCGGAACTGAAACATTTCTTTTACCACCCTCCTATTCTGCTGCCCCTTTCTTTTCTGGGGAGAGGGGGTGGGGGGGGATAGGGGAGAAAGAGCTCATGCCTCTACTGTACACACACATACTTGGATCTGTTCTCTGTAGCCTCCAGACCCAACCTCCTCATTCACCAGGATTCATTGGATCCCTTTTGAGCTCAGTGTGCTCTGCTGAATGATGCACCCAGGACCCACCTGGGAGCCCACAGGAAGTTTGTCCCGATATTTAAAATCTTCCTCCAGCTCATGAAAACCAAAGCCTAACCTGCCCTTCATTCCCACCCACAGACCACCCCAGGGCCTGGCCAGAAAGAGTCCCTTTGCTTTGAGTACTAAGAAACTTTGATTTAAACATTTAATACTAATGAGCCCCTATGACCCCTCTTTACAGAACTCCAGGCTCCCTTCCAATACTTATTCCCTCACTCTTGAACATGTATTTGCTTCTAGGAGAAGAATTTAGACTGGTTTCCTCGGATGCGAGCCATGTCCCTCGTTAGCAATGAAGGTGATGGTGAGCAAAATGAGATTCGGAACCTGCAGGAGAAGTTGGAATCCACCATGAGCTTGGTCAAACAGCTGTCGGCACAGCTGGCAGAGCTCAAAGAGCAGGTCAGTGTGCTCGGGGAGCTGGAGCTGCCGCTGGGTGGGGTGAGTCAGGGGAGACCTGAGGTTCCTGGGAGCAGGACTGTTATTCACAGAGAGCTGTAAAGTCCAATAGGGACCCCCAACACTGTGCTATGAGAACCACATCTCTGCAGGTCACTAGTGTGACTCTTCTCCACCTATGGGAGTGGGGGGATGGGGGGAGAAGGCACAAAGCACAAAATACAAGGGCCTCTTTGCACTTTTTGATAGAAAATTATATTTTCTGCCATCCTAGCAATTACTAAACTCATCGGGAAGGCAGATCGTCATCCGGACCTGTCATTTCAATGCTATAATCAACCCCTTCATCGTGTGAAATTATTAGCAGTAGTAAAAATACTATCAAAAGTAGCTGTGATAACTATTCAAATGACTACCATGATGGTGATGATTATCTGACAAGTCAGAGCTGCTTGAAAAGAACCATGGTTCCTGTTTTTAAACCACAGAGAGGGATTTGCCTTTTCTCTCTCTCTCTCTCTCTCTCTCTCTCTCGGTGGAAATTCACTTAAAAAAAAAAAATCCCCCCCCCTTTTTTTTTTTTTTTTTTTGTAACTATATTCTGGAGGATGCCAGACAGACTGTAGGTGCTTGGGAAATATTAACCCCACATTGCGTAGCCCACCAGCACTGTGGAAAAAGTGAGAAAATGAGCTCAACACACTCTCTCTTTCCCTCCAGATGACAGAACAAAGGAAGAATAAGCAGAGACTGGGCTTTCTCGGATCAAACACACCCCATGTGAACCATCACATGCCATCACACTGAGACCATGGTGGGGGAAGCCGTGACTAGCCTTTCATCAGTGTCCTGCCTGATCACTGAATAAAGAACTGAGACGGAGGGGAGTGAACAGTGCCTATTGTTGAAAGTTAAAAACAACCAAGTGCCAAGATGTTGAGTGGTTTAGCTCTGAGAACAATTTATAACTGTGTTTTCATGGTTGAGAAGACCAAACTTAAAAGCTAGAAAGCACACATCACGCATTCTTAATGTAACGTGAAGTAGCTTGCTTGGAAATGGGAGGAGGGGTAGGGGGAGGCAGGGTGCGCGGGGGCGCGGCTGGGACAGACGACCTTTGGCTAAATCAGTAAGAGTCAGTTTTGTCTTAAATGCTGACGGTGACCTTCGTCGCGGTCGGTTGGGATTTATTTCTCTTAATTATGGCAAATAGGTTAGCGATACAGGAATTCATACGGGGGCTAAGTTTTCCTAAGGAAAATAACAGTAGAGATTAAAAATGAGAGTTGCAAAGAAAAATGTTAATGCTTCCAAACTGTAGCTGTCACAGGGCAATTTTCTTATTTATAACGTGCAACACAATGGATTTCCAGCTCTTTGGAGCTCATGCCCCTCACACTGACAGCATAACTGGAATGTGATTGCTTTCTCCCGGGTGCTGAGGGGCTCTGTCACTGCGGAGCACAAAAGGGGATTTTCAGATAACCTGTTCAAAACATGTTTTAAGTCATGTAGAGGGGAAGATTTTAAAAGATTTGGGGAAGAAAAAGCTGGCGGTAAGCCCCTGGGGAGAATTTTTTTTTTTTTTTTGTGAACATATGTATGCTATTAAAATGTATTGAGAATAATAAATGGAAATGCTTAAAGGTAACAGGGAATATTGAGAAACTTATGATAGTCACATTGCCTTTTATAAATATGAAGTAAAAGCTATTTGATTCATGTTTGCTGTGCTTATGGAACTGAGTGGTTTTATTTATCCTATCTGTGTAGTTAGGGGTGAAAAAAATCCAAGAAATTTATTGAATACTCAAGAAAATGCGGCATTTCAATTGTGGATTTTAAACTGTATCGGTAAGAGCTTTTCAGAATGTAGAGAGATAATCATCTCTTCCTCAAATTGTTTTTATGTTAAATTATGCAACCAGGATTTGTGGAGGGGGAAAAAAACCTGCCGTGCTCATAATATTCATAGACACTAAACATTTAGGATGTTAAAGCAAAATATGGGTAATGGAAGAATGGATGCTTGGTAAGGGGACAAGGCCCCTGACCCCAAAGTCTGGGAGATGCTTTGCAAATTGACCTCTGGACCCTGTCTCCCAAGGAACGATTACGTCCAGAGTCTTAAAACTCTCAAGTTATTACTGGCAAAGTTTAAGGTCTGGGTAGGGTTTCTTATGACCATTTTTAAAGTTTTTTGGATTGCTGTCATTTAGTTTAAAACTATTGGCTCTTAAAATTCTTGAGTCATGGTCTGAGTAGATTAAAAATGGATTCCTGAACCAATCCTTCCACAATGTTGAATTGTAGACTTGGAATGAATGTGTGGAAACCCAGAACAACAGTTACTTAACTGACTCTACTAGTACCTCCCACCCCTCTACTCCTGTACTTCCCCCACATTAAGAATTCTTTACTGTGACACCGTAGTATTTTTCCTTACCAGTCGCAGAAGAGCCATGATCCCGAAATACTAAGAAATTGAGATATATATCTAACTGCAGCATAAAACTTTGAACCTAATAGGCATTCAACAAACGTATGAGAAATTTCACTGTGGTTCAGTGACCCTTAATTCTTTATTAAAACTTTGAACGATATCACATACTTGATTTTTTTTAAATGGCTTCAGCAAACCAAAGTCAACCAAGGCAGTCATTGTTTTAATCCAAGACCATCGTTGTTATAACAGTATTAGATTAAAGTAGATTTTAAAGTATTTTAATTAAACAGAGAGTTTGCAGATGGGGAGAAGAAGAGGAAATTGTTAAAGACTGACCCTATTCCAGGGTAGGAAACCATCTCTGTTTTAACATGAAACAAGATATTTTTGATGTCTGAACATTAAGAGAAGAGATTAATTTGTCCAGAGGAGAGCAGCCTGCTTTTCACTTGATGGACTATCTATTCTTTCCTGGGACCATGCTGGTTCTTTTTTATAGCGAATAAGCCATTGGGTATATAACTGCTATCAACAAATGACCTAACCTCTCCACCCATTGTCAGGCGCAGCTCACCATTTTATAGCATATTTTCTCGAATGGGAAGTATTACAACTGACCTGACTCTTACTTGTTCAAAACGGAAATATTTCTCAGTTGTGTTTTTCTTTCCTGCCTAGATACTTAGAGATTACAGAGCAAAATAAAACAAAACATAAAAGCAAACAAAAAAGGCACTCTCCAGGCTCTTAAGGTCATGATGTCACAAGAAGATAATGATGGGGAAATTTGACACTTGATATAAGTTCATACTGGTTATGTACATGTTTGGTAATGCAACTGGAATATTGGACCTAGGCAAGTGTTTGTTAACCTTTTTATATTTATATAGTGATATTAAAATGAGTACAGTAATCTTTGATTTTGATGTTAAGGGAAATGTCTTACTCCTTAGTTATTAAAATGCATCAGTTATTAAAAGCATCAGTTTCTGCTGCATATAATTTTTAATTTCAAAAAGATTTTATTCCCCTGCATGCTACATTCTGAGGCCCAAGAGTTTAATAGAAGTATGTTTCCTAATTTATAATATCATTTGAGATGAGAGAGTTTTTGTATCAGATAAGACTACAATATTAATAAATAAATTATATACATGTAAAAATTATTTTTTCAACCTCTTGAGAAAGTTCATTGAGAAAGGGCTTATTTTCTCACTTACTGAATTTTTTCTGTTGATGAAGATACAGTTTCTAGTGGGTAATTGATTATATCAGGAAGATAGTCCATTCAAGTCAGAACTAATCATGTGCTTATTTCCATATCTTCAGCTCACAACTCACTGTTTTGGCTGCTCTTTTTAGTTTCTAGTTGTTCCATTACCAACAGTAATACACTAGGGCTCACCCCCAACCCCCACGTGCCAGGGTTGAGATGAGTGGACAGACTAGCGGTCTGAAGATTTGGGCAGGGAAGGTGAGGACTGGATCTTCACTATGTTAGGGAAAAGGAGTAAATGAGAGATCGTAGGAAGAAAAGGGCCGAACCTCCAGAGGTGCAGTGGACTAGAGGGTAAACAGGTAAGTATCGCGTGGGTGTAGTGATGTAACAGATTACAGACTGGAGAGCTAACATTTAAACATGCCTCGAGCAGTGCTCTATGCAAGGGCAGCTGTAAGAGGCATATTCCCCCAGCTGTTCTTACATCAATATGGAATAACCCCCAGACCCGTTCCAACATGCTTGACATATGATACCACTCAAAAGAGTGGGGTGACCCTCTTAAACACAAACACACATGCCTCTGGGAGTTAGGCAAGGCACTAAAATGTGTGACATCGTGGAGTGCGTACCATTTGTAGGGATGGGGAAACTCAGGGAGCCTTCTATTGGCAAAAGTCGACAACTAAGTCCAGCTTTTAGAAAATGCCTGAAACTGATTGAGGCCCTCCAGGCACTCATTGGCTATCTGTGAAATAATCGTTGGTCAAGCTCTGCCATTTAGTAGGAGAAAACACAATACCAAAATCGAGCAGAGGAGCACACATGCAGAAGTGGAGAGATCCGAAAGCAAAACCCAAGTATCATCTCTGACCGGGAGTGTTTCCACAGGCTGGAATCATCTATAAAATTATCAGGCCACTACTTCTCATATCATCACCAGTAGACTTTTTTCCCCCTGCAGTCGAGTATTACTATATTTGCCTCAAATAATATGATTCCAATAGAATATGTCAAGACCAGATAAGCATAATTTGTAAATTATGAATAAAATGGGATTGGTATAACTTTTTTGCGTGTGATACTTTAAGTGCCTTTTTCATCACTTACCATGCTTCTACATAATCTGTCCATCGGTACGGAAGCCCTTATTATTGCTATTTTACATAGCGAGACATGAAGGACAAAAAATTGGGTGGCTTGAACCGCACTGCACTAATCCAAACGGAACATTGTGCCCAGCATTTATTGGGAACTGGCTAAATCCCCAATTGGCCAACACCAGCAAATCTATATCCTGTCTGGTGCCCAGCGTGGGCTCAGTGGGCAGGCCTCTTGGTCATCTAGCACTTCCTGGTTCTTAACACGCAGTGCTTCAGGATGGTAGCTCCCCTCCAAAGACAACAAGCATGCAACAGCTGAAATCAAAATGAGTGGCATGAATCACATGCAAACCAGGAATAGAATTCTTTGCTCATGTGGGCATTTTCCAGTATGCCACAATTCCTTGAAGCAGTGTGGCAAGAATTGTTTTGTTTTGCTTGGAATCGGAGGAAAGGTTGAGGGAGGGAAATTGGACAATGAGTTCCTCTTCCAGTAAGAATAATTGGCGTGAAGGGCAGGAGTTTTCCTGTGGAGGGGAGCGGGATGGATGTCTGCAAGTCACCCTGCCTTTGACTGGTCAGCCGTGTGTTTTGCGGAAGTCTCAGGAAAGCCTCTAGCTTCATAGCAAGCCAGAAATCTGTGCACTTGAGCATGTCCAGTGTCTTTCCGCAACAGCAGAGCTGCTGATACCTTCCATGGAGTCAGGCACATACCAAACAGAGAAACACAGAAACCAGAATTGTTGCAGGTAGAAGATCTATAAGAACGGATTAGTCGTTGAACTTATTTGAGTCCGTTTAACAGAAAATTCTGGTTTTTACACTTCAATGTGGATTTCCCCTAGGTTAGCCCATTCCCTTTTAACACTGGTTCTTGGATTAAAAATCACCTCCTGGGAGAATTACCTCCTCACAGCAGTGGAAATGTGGATACAGGTGCGGATTTCTTCTGAAATCCCCTGCGACACATCCCTCCAAAGTCCCCTTCACCCCTGCTCTGTCACATGTGTTGGCACAGGGAAAGGTTTCTGAGGCTGCTGCCTGTTCTAGTAACTGCTTTTAGTTTTGATGTTACAATTGTCTTCACTTTGGACAATTGTATCTGCTTGTCTGCCTGGTGTAACCTCTACCTTCTTTTTCAACATGGTTAAAATGGTTCTTTGTGATCCGGGTCTTCTTGGCAGTATAGTCAAATAAAAATTCTGTGTGCACAAGAGCTTAAAATTAGACTCTGCTCTGTTAAAAAAAATAATATTAATGTATTTTACATCAATTAGGTCTTATCAGGAAGCAAAATCATGATGACTGAGATTTATTTTAGGAGTCTGATGTGATGTAATGGTGGTGAAGAGCTCTGTGGAAGGCTGGTGCTTCTGCGTCTGGCTGTGGGTCTGAAGTCACTAAGTCGGGGGGGGTGACAGTCAGGAAGAAAAGCTGGGTGTGAAGCAGGAAAAAAACAAGGACAGACTGGGACCCATGGGGACACAGAAATTTGCATCTAGCTCTCACCACCACCAAACTCTGGAGCCCATGTGACTGAAAAATGAAGCTGGCGTTCTTCACCTTGGGCCTGTAGCTGCGCATGAGCCAGGACTCGGAGAAGCTGAAGGAGATCTATGGGCACTGGGGAGTGTGGACTCGCCGCTGCCCCGCGCCCACAAGGTGTGCCAGGAGATCAGGCTGTGAGGCGCCAGGGCGCCTGTTGCCTACTCTTTCTGAACTTGAGGGCTGTTGCTTCACTTCCATCTACCACATCTTGTGAAAGTATCTCCTGTGTTCAACCGGTAATCCTATGAAGAAGGGGATTCTGGGAAAGTATAGCTCCAGCTAAGCTTGATTGACGGAGTACCTAGCCACCCCACTGGAGTAGACCTTAATGCTTACCGAGACTGATGTTCCTTTTCTAGTGGACGCATGCTAGACACGTTTCCCAGCACCTACCGCAGTTGAGTGGGGAAAGACATGACTAGTTCTGATGAATGCATTGTGAGTGATTGACAAACTGAGACAGAAAAAAGTCCCTCCACAATGTCTGGGTCTCCTCACCACCTTGATTATGGAAACCAAGATGGAACCAGTCTGAATCCCTGAGTCCCTTCTTTGAAGGGAACTACGCTGAAGAGCTTGATAGGTGCAGAAAAATTGCTATGATAAGAAAAACTTTCATGTGTTAAGGCATTAAAATTAAAGAAGTTTTGGTTGTTGGTAAATAAATGAGATTGGGGTATGTGTAATTGTTACTGTAGCATAACCCAGCCTACCTGACTAGTACAGATATGTGTATTAGACACCAGAAAATTAACCCAAATACACTGCTTCTGGGATGTAGCCAAGAAAAATAGAAAGTAAAGGAAAACATATATATGCAAAATATTCATCACATCATCATTTACAATTCAAAAACTGAATACAGTCCAAAGTCCAGTAATTTTGGTGTGTTTAAAATTTATACTTCACTCATAGAATAGAATGTGATGAAATCTATGAGAACTATGCAAACTGAGGCAACATTGAAAAACAGGTAGGATAAACTTTAAAAATAGCTATAATTATATGTTCACCATTAACTGCATAAAAGCATGTTTCTCAAAAAGACATGAACAAAAACTATAGTGATATTTGTTTTAAAATAGCTAGGATGATACATTATTTTCCTTTTGGTATTTTCTTTATTTTTAATATTTCTTCTATAGTTTAATAACATTTTTTAAAAGTATGTAAAAGCAATACTAAGTCCAGAAAGTATTTCCTGAGAACAAGTTTTCCCAAACTCATTTACATTTTTATATGATAACTGGAATTATAGATGAAGTGAATACCATAGCCACAATTTATATTGATTTCAACAAGACATTTAAGAAAAGTTGCATGATATTCCTATAGACAAGATGCAAAAATTGGTCCTGGATCACAGTGGGGTTCTACAAATCTGTATGCAAGTGAATAATTTTATATTATATAATTATTATATAATTAATATATATAATATAATTATATTAATTATATAATAATTATATAATAAAAATATTATATAAAATTATATAATTTTATAATTAATTATATAGTATATATAATATTATATATTATATAATTATATAATAATTTTTATAATTAAATAAAATTATTTAATGTGAAGTTAGAGTAAAATATCCTTGGCCTATTGTTAGATGTCAGTCCTTGGCCTTCTCTTTACCAACATTAATTTCAATGTCTGGAATAAAGAAATAGATGGCAAAATTACAAAAAGTGGAGATGACATAGAGTTGGGGAATAGATTGAGCATGACGGATGACAGTAACAATAATGTCAGAAAACTGGAACAATGAACAAGTCTATTCTGATGAGCTCTTATTGGCAAAATATAAAATTTAGCTCCAAAAAGCTCAGTTGCATAAATATATGACAGGGCAGACAACCCATTCATGTAAAAACCAAATAAACCATGAAATTTTGAATACAATCTAGCTCTATGTTTATATATTAATTTATTTTAACATCTTTATTTAGTGCTTACTATATTTAAGGACTACTTACTATATTTAAGGACTATTACCAGGCAAGATATGATAAGGGTTTTATCTTAAAGAGTAAGCACTGGGGATAGAAAGAGAGGTTTGCAAGAAATATTCAAAATGGAAAATCTACAGAAATTTGGTGCTC